TTGGCCCATATGCACATAGATGTGTTGTTGGGTTCAGAGTAAGCTTCTAATTCAACTGTCTCGTCATGCAGCCAGCACCTTACTGCAATTGATCCGAAAGCTGCACCAGTTACGCACATAGCCCTTCGTGCATGATCCTGCATGTGATAATGCATTTGCCAAAGTTTCTCGTCACACAGCTTGCCTGTTTCACCAGCAATCCCCGATTCTTTACCGGGGTCGGCGGCAGGGGCGGCAGCCCTTAAATAACAAAGCATATACAAATGTGTAAATGGCTTTATCGGTATAGTCCGTTGGGGACTTTTTTGGAGGTTCGACAGGTTCTTACAATTTTTGTATCCACAAGCATTATTTGAAGAAGTGTCCAGACCTGCAGGCTTTGATTTTATGAGTGGGGTTGGGTTTAGAGGTTGGTAGCCGCTGAGACCTGGTCTTCTTGGGATTTGGAAACAAGTAATTCTCCTGATACAAATACTGTAGAAATGTACATATGATAAAGCATGTACATATACAATCTCGAGTATATGTACATATACAATCTATAGTGCATGTTCATCTTTTGCAGGACCCACGATGGGATTCATGATATCTGACTTTCGCGAAACTATCGCGAACGAACATTCTCCTTTCGCAAGCAAGGACCTTTGGATCGATCCCTATATAACAATACATGTATATACGTACATATATAGATACATCAATATCAAGTAATAGGTGTCTAATCACAACAGTGAGGGTTTCCGATACCTAAAACTTTGATTTAATAAAATATGAGGGTCTTACAAACGAAACTGGCACTCAACAAACCAAAAAAGTATGTACCCAACAACAGCAGAAATTTAAACACAGTGGTCTTCAACAAGTGATGTGGATTTAGCCAACACCAATGACGATTTCAATCAACAAAAAGATACAAAAAGGGTCTTCACCAACAATCATATATCATCTGTAACTGGGGGTTCTGCTCCATTGGTACCCCAGTACTTGATACAACTTGTTGATCATATTCTGTTAAATCCCACAAGAAGCTGGTCAGTATATGGATATGTCAATGGGGTATACACCCAAATCGCCTATGGGGAAAACGATGTTAATCTGTTAATCCACTGGATTTAGGGGGTCAATTTGATCCAATTGATTCCCATTAGCGCCATCTACTAGCCATTGTGCCCCACGATTGTTGGGTGTAAAAACGTGTAACGAAACAATGGTTCTGGATCCATTCCACTTGTATCCACTTGTCCCAGCTCATGTAATCCATTAATTGCCCCATTCTTCTCCACCAAATTAATTTGCAAATGATCATCATTGTATTGAGGTTTAATGACAGGAGCAGATGATCCGTGATGGTCATCTTGACATATGGACCTTGATGATATAACCCCCGATCGTAAATAGATCCAATTATAAATCCCTATTCTATGCCCATGAGGAAATCCAGGGGCTGATGATTCAAGACTAATAGGGCCTGAATAATGTATATATCGCATTCTAAAACCCTATTATACCCCATATCCCCATGACGATCTCAAGATATCCCAAGTATATGCCCAAAATAAAGTATATGGGATTATGATTCATTCAAATCGCCATTCGATGCATAAATCCCTATGATGATTCCTTGAAGATTATACCCCAATGATATCCCATCATTACATCATATGTCCATCATAAAGTATAATCTGGTTGATATGAATGGTCCAGTATGTCCATTATATCATTATAAAATATCGGATATTCCTATGATTATATCATAATCCCTATGATTGTATCATAATCCCTATGATTATATCATAGTCCCTATGATTATATCATAATACCTATGAATCCCCATGATACGACCATTATATGACCATGAAACCCCAAAGGTTGATGATTTCAGCCATCGATTTCCCACCTCTCGATGCTTCTCGTCGATCTCCTCGACACGGCTCTGCACCTGGAGTGCCGGGAGAAACAGAGGTCACGAAGCAACAAAAAAGGGGGAGTTAATCATCAAACATAGTGAGTTTAAGTGATTTTAAGTGTATATATTTAAGCAACAAACATAGTGAGTTTAGTGAAGCATCAAAACTCGTGAGTTAAGCAGCAAACCTTGGGATTCAGCAGCACACATGTGGGATATTTGAGCAACACAAAAACGAATTTGAGATCTGACCATAGACAAATACACCAGTTGGAAATCTGATCAACAAAAAAGAGGTTTACGTATTGAAACATATTGAAACCAATAATCAAATGGAGATGGTTCATCTGATTGAATATCAGCAGCCCAAGGGCCCAAGGTCTTTGAATTCTCCACCATACACCGTTTGTGCCCTGCTTGTGGTACTGATAAAACCCTGTTTCTTAGGCGCCCGCAATCGAAACATCATTTCTTTTGCACGTCTGTGGCCTTTACCATTCTTTATCACCTTTCATCTCCAACTCTGTGGCTTCAAGCCTGAATTTTGTGGCCTGGACATGAAGAAATGCTTTCCAATATGGGTACCTCCACATCCTATGGGCTATCATGATCCCCATCCATTAGAATGGCCATTTGAGATTTGAGGCTACTGGTATGTACTGGTGTCTGCCATTTCAAGCCAATCCAACTCCCGATTGTTGATGGTTACACCAGATTTTCCCATGTTTTCCATGGCCAATTCTGCCTCCAAACTGCTCGCCGCCCAAGCCGGAGGCTCTGAGGCCAGTCGTGCTGAGGAACGACTTAAGCTTTCCTGGAAAGTTGACCCAACTGACCAGCCAAGATGGGGATTTCAGATGATTTTACCAACAAACATGATACGGATTTCATGAGAAAAAATGGGATTCAATATGGATTCAATATAATATATATATATAATCAGACTAACAATACGACAATACATGTATAAGACTAATATATATATATATAATATTTAATGGGATTTATAATATAATATGATCTAAGAATCTAACTAACAATACATCTATAGACTTCATATACTTCACCAGAAAACTTGGCATCTTGGCAGGTAGAATATTTCACCAGGAAAAATGGGGCGTCTAAGCAGCAACCGAGTGGCAGTTTAGAATCTTTTTAACGAGCTACGAGTATCTAAGAAAATCAAGAAACAAACACTGGGATAGCATTCTTTCACTGACATAAACTATCTCTGTACACACACATGTTATATATATATACACACGTAGATATACACGCGATATATAATATACATGCAACAAGCAGTTCTTGTTGCTGTTCAACACCTCTCATTTTCTCAATCCGCCAGCCCCAACCACATGGGGTGACTCAACATGGGTGGCAAATGGTTAGATGGTGGATGTGTCCTAGAATAGCTGAGATCTGGGTCAACAATTGAGGGCTGGTCAAGGCATCAAAGTGGACCTTGGCCATGATCAGATCAAGCCACAATAGGGATGGTCATTCCAACATATGATGAATCCGTATGGACCTGTCATATCTTGTAGGATTGATATGGTGATTCCCAAAGAGATAGCAGGAATCACCAAAGTTTGAGTTAAGGCAACCTAGCTTTGTACTTCGGAAGCCGTATTCATACACATTCAAGTGACCAAAACAGGAGCGCAACCAATAGATTTGGGGATGGTCATGCCATGTTTCCCTAGACTTCTTCTTTTGCAATGTGTTGTAGTTCCTTCTTATATGCATCCTGGTATTTGGATGTATTTGGTGACTTAAAAAAACAACCCTCAAGTGTTATAAGCTTCGGTAAGCTGGAAAATCTTATTAAATATTTATATCGAATCAAATCACGGAATGTCAAAATCCGACATACGCCCATTTGACATGATTCCCGGACACGAAAACCATTGATCTTCTTGGTGAATCTATAGTCCGTATATCCCCCTTGCTGCGCCAAAAGGACCTCTGCATTCTTGCTGAGCAAATCAATGCGAGTCTGGAGCTGCTTGGCGAAAGGGGGAACTCCCAAGGTTTCGTTGCCGCTTGGCGTATGAGTAATTTACGTAGATATGAAAAACCCACGGGGAAACCTGACGCAAATGACCTACAAACGGGGGGTTTCCTATAATTATCTATCTGAATTTATGGAGGGTACCCCAAAATGGCCTTTCGAAGGAGAGAAAGGATGGACAAAAAATCATGTCATGGGATAGAATGAGGTTCCATGAGGTTCCCGATTTTGAGCCAAACCCATTCAACCCCCGCATAGCTTCAGCGGCAGTCAACGTCTTGGTCTTACCAGCTGCTCCCTGCAACATCGCCCCCAAGGACCCAGCAAACTAGGGAGAAAACGTATTTGATCGTATTTGATTTAGAATATTTAGCCGAATCTTCGAAATTTGCCCAAGTTCCCAAAATCGAACCCAATTACCATCTCCTTGGGGGACTTCCATGGAGTTCCGGCCTCGGAGGGTGGTAGCAACGCCTGGCAGTAGTCGGACGCGGCTTTGAGCGCTCTCCAGAAGCTGATGGGCTCCTGAGAAAAACATGGATGACACTCGGGGGGAAGGATGAAAAGCCAATGGAACACCAGCATATTGTAGGGGATGGTCAGCTAATGTCAGCTATATCAGAGTATGTTCTAATTGGTTCGAATTGTGAATGAGATTCTGGGGTCCTACCCATTTGAAGAGACACATCTTGATTTGTCGATTCCGCAGTGTCTTTTTTGGGACTGCCAAATCCAACATGTCTGCCCGCCCTAGGAAAAACCAGGGGAGATCGCCGCCAGCACTCCGCGCTGTTTTGATGCCTGCACTGTCCACCATGCAGCCAGTTTATGTCGCTTTTTTGGTCTGCCATGCATTGAGCTGTAATACTCTTCAGATCTTTCCGGCCAGTCCCAGGTAGTGTCACGTTCTCAAACTGACTAAAAGGTTGAAGAGCTTCTTCAAATAATCCACATCGGTGCTGGTGATTTCAACCCATCTCAAGGAGAATGTTCACATGTTCAAACTGAGGTTTGCCAGTTTGAATAGGCACTGGCACCATTTTTCCAACCACGGGCTGGGACTGCCATGGACCCAATGGCTCAGCGTGATTTGAATCCATACCTGGGCCAACGGCCAGGCCACAGGGATCCACAGGGGTTAGCCACTTAGAATGCACCAAACATATCAAACATACCTAAACCATCCACGAAAGGGTTGTTGACCCATTCTCAAATGAACATGGAAGCGATATGTACCAATCAACGAGACTCATGGTCAAGTAGCTCCCGGAATGGCCAGGAATTGACCATAGAGGGCTCAAACATGCTCAAAGATATTACATGCATGTCCACGTGCAGAATCATTGCCTGCATCCCCTGCTCTGAAGTCTTGAACCATGTGTTTACCCTAAGTCTATACATATTTTCCATGGTTTCTTCCACGTGTTTACCGACGCTTGATCTCCCAACCAGCCATGTTCGATGCTACTGGGATCCCGTCTTTTTTCGTTCGTAGAACAAGTCGGTTCTGGCTGTTCCCAGGTTCACAATCTTGGGACATCCGTCCCGATCCTGTCCCAGACAGTCAGCGCTATGGTGAGCATCACTTGGGACCATCGTTATGAAAATCATGAACATACTCTTGAAACCACAAGATAGAGATTGAAAATCCTCCATAAGTGTATGTTTTAATGGAAATAAATGGGATATATCAATAGGCGATTTTCCACTGCCATATTTGATTATCGGAGGGAATTTACTCTCTTCCATGGCTGAGAGTTTCATCGATTTTCCATTCGGTTTGTCAGAGGCCGCTGTGGCAAGCCCGACTCTTGAAGGCCAATTGTCGTAAACCTAAAACTGCTGGAACACCTTGAGATCATGATGCCACATAGATCCACATAGGGATAGAAGATACATGGCAGTTGAACCCACAAAACCAAAGTCATATCAAAATACAATTAACATCCACTAATCCACTAACCTGCTGATTCAGTTTTCATTGTCAGCCATGAACCAAGTTAGCCCCTCTAACAGTAACTCGGATCTGCACCTTTTCGCATTGGCAGCACTCCTGGGACAGGCAGGTGCGGTGCTGGGTTGAGTACGTCGATACCCTCCAGTTTGAGTATGTTTATATATTCCTCAATATGTTTGTTTTTTTTTTCATTTGATTACTACTACATATTACTATGAGACTATAAACAGATGATAACCTTGGACCCTGGTTGTTGAATTGATACCTCAAGTGTCAGGGAAGTTGCATTTGGCCTGTAAGAGTGCAATTCCAGAGATCCTGAGTGAAAAGAGTCACTCCCACGTGAAGTGTGGACAAGCCATTGTGTCCTGCACTTTTACAGCAAACAGCAAAAATCATGGCCATGTTTCGGTGCCAAACATCCCATTTTTGTGGCGGAGAAACCCAGCTCCACGCAGGCTTCCCGGGATGAATGTGGTAAGCTCAAGAGTAAATCATCCTGTTTTTTTCACCGGACATGGTTTCTATAAAGCCTCCAAACTTGGAGGTTTTATGGCATTGGGTTTACCAGTGATTACTATCAACTTCATCTACTCAATCATCTCAATCTGCCTCTTCACCCTGCCTCTTCACCTTAGATCCCCCAGTTCCCTCCACTCCTTGCAATAGAAGGCATCTGAAATTCCCGCGCCGCCGCAAATCACGCACCGGCCCTGGTAACTTCCTGGAGGCCGTGGACGGCCCTGAAGCCATAGAAATTCCGGGGTCTATGTTACTTCGGGGAATGAAGCCGGTGATATCATGAGGAAATTTACTAGGATAGTTATACTGGGATATTTCATGGAGATAACGATCTAATTTTCACCAATCATGATTTTCACCATGAGGCTTAGACCCAAATGTGGAGTTTTCTGGGACATTCATGGAGATTCGTCGGGATTTTCGCTAGATTAAGCTAGATTAATTGAGGGTAATCATTAAATGGTGGGTCGGAAGCGAGAAGGGTGGGTTCCGCCAAAATCAGGGCCAAAGTACACAAATTGAACATAAGCTGGCGAAGAAACTATTTACCTTCAAATGCACAAATGCAAAAAAGCAGGTACCTCTCGTTGATCCTTGGTGTTATTGTGGACCTTGACTCTATCCTCTCAATTATCCCGGAGGTAGAATTTGGAACTCATTCTCCAAGCGTCTCAATGCGTGTAGGCATTTCATTGTCAGATCATGTATAATATAATGCAATATATATATATATAATATAATACAATAAAATATTATACAATACACAAAATATAATATAATATACTATAATATAATATGATATGATATCATATACTATAATATAATATGGTACAATATAACATAATATAATATAATATAACATAATATAAGATAATATAACATAATATAGTATAATATAATATGTTTTTAATATGATATAATATGATATTACAAATTATATTAGATTATATAATATCTAATATCATATTATATATTACATCACATCATATCATATTGTATTATCTTATATTATCTTATATTATCTGATATTATCTTATATTATATTATCTTATCTTATATTATATTGTATTATATTATATTATATTAATTATGTTATATTATATAATAAGCTATATCACATTATTATATTATATAATACTAGTAAGTTATATCACATTATTATATTATATTATATTACATTATGCTAATATAATATGACTATTATATATGTGCTTTCATCATCTTTCATCCAGATTCACTAGTCACATCCCTCCAATAACACCAAACCTAAAATGGATCCCATGAATAGATCCACAAATATACCAGTTTTTACTGGGGGTGTTTTACTGGGGTAGGGACTGAAGTTTCGCGCCAAGACATCCACAACCGTCCCTTCGCCCGGCCGTAGTTGCACTCGTCGCAAACTCGCGCCAATTGACTGGGCCTGACCTTAGGGCAGTGATCTCAAGTCTTCAGGAATTGTCCCCATCTATGGCAATGAATCAATTTGCCGTGGCCTCAACTACCCAGTTTCGGGTTCAAGTCAGCCCTTCTTGGCACATCCCAAAAGTGCTTACAGCATGGCGCCCAAACTACAGGTCCCGTAAAATCCGGCAAACTTTTCCGCTGCAAAACGTAGTAGGAAAATATGGCGAACATGTGAACACCAGCATTTTTAGGTCTTTCACGACACTGGTTATTACCCTCTGGTAATTTAACATAGCTATTGAAAATGGCCATTTATAGTGAGTTTTCCCATTAAACATGGTGATTTTCCCATTAAAAATGGTGATTTTCCCATTAAAAATGGTGATTTTCCATCGTTTTTTGTTAAATTACCAGAGGGTAGCTGGTTTTGAACGAACCAAGATGAAGATCCGACGAATCCATGCCGTCCAAGCCACGTAGGAGTCGCAAATCACACACTTTCCGTCGCACTTCTCGCAGAGGCGACCTTGAAGCATGGTGGGTAGGTCACATACAAACCCAACAACTGGAATGGACTTGAATAGGTAATTTATCATAATTCATCTATATTTGGAATGGACCAGAACTAGAATAGGTAATTTATGTAGGATGATTTGTGCGAGCTTTTGATCAATTTTCACAAGACGTTTTTTGGATTTTAATTCGCAAGATGTGGTTCACCATCTGGCGACGAGTTCTGACGTGCTACGAAAATTCAGAGCCTGCATATTTCAAAAAACTCAATTATTTCCGCAGAAAATCTTGATGAAATCCAAGTCAATCCCAAAGAATTTCTGAAGAGAGTGAGTTCTTGCGGTGTGGGTCAGAACTTCGTATCACGAGGTCAACCTAAACATCAACAACAAAAACTACTAACTACTATCAACATCCCCCTTTTGGGGTCCCCTGAGCATTATTTCCCCACCATTCCAAATCATTTTTCACAAAATGGCGGTGGCGGTGGATCAAACTCTGGTATACCAAGTATATACCTCGGTTCTTACACCAAGAATGGATCTTCAACACCCCCATTCACATCATGCCTAGGTGTTCGATGGTATTCACCCATGATCGAAGTGGGAACTGGGCCATCGCACCAATGGCAATCCCGCATTGCTTGCGGCACATGATGAGATCTGGATGGTGCTTCGCCATGGTGCGCCTGGCATCCAACATCATCCAACATCATCCAACATCATCCAACATCATCCAACATCATCCAACAGTATGAACTGATGTCTTTTACGAACCAACTACCCAGAGGTTCGGGTTTGCTAAAAAAGAAAGTGTGGTATACTATTTGCCATCATTTCCCTTTCTGGAGGGCCTCATGCTCAACACTCTTGCTCGATTAGTCGGTCATGTTCCAGGTCCAAAAGCATTTGATAGTTGATATCCTCCAGATCACACCATTCAACAGGGGGTTGTAAAAACTACACAATAAACGACGATATATCCATGCATCCTGCCGGAAACCCATCTTGCAAGCCATACTTCATCAATCTTCATCATGTTTCTGGCTTCCGAATCACTTTTCACGTCGGGGATGGACTAACGCACCAATCCCAGTAGCCAAACTGTCGATACCCGAGGTCTCAACCTGTTCTGTGTGCGCCCCTCGAACCAAAACTCAGCTCTGGAGCCGATAAATGGCGCCATCATGCCCCGCATCGTGGACTTATCCCTTGGAAATCAAGAAATTGACACCCCCAAATGGATTAATCTGGCAGTTTCCAGTAGGAGCATCGTCTTCTAGAGCCGATTTTTTGTTTCGAGTCTCTTTCCAAACAGGGGGTCACACAATGTCACACATTTCACCACTTGGTCAACATGATTCACACACAAGGCTAAGACCATGTGTTAGTCGAACACAATGCCGGGGTTTCTAGTTGGGGGCAAATTACGGTGTCTTGTGACACCAAAACAGGCTTGGGAATGTAATATATGTATGGATATTTGTATAGTGTGTGTATATATACATGTGCATATATATAATGTATAATGATGTATAATGTATATAATTGTATATACATAGTGACCTGAGTGATCCCACTTTGCCACAATTACAAAAGGATACAAAAGGAAGTGAGGGTCGGTCCTCTTCTTCCCCAGTGGCACACTTTCCGAGGCCCACCTCGAGGTATCACAAAAGCTATCTCCTACAAAACATGACGACAGTAAGATGTAGGTACCATGACTACCCATACGACAGATTCTCAAGTTTGTATCACTCACATGCCCCCCCGACATCTAAAATGCAATGGGTTTTCTTACAGTGCATGCACTAATCTTGACTCAGTCTATTACTCTACATCCACATCATTTGTTGGTAAAATATCATTATTCTTTTCTGTAAAACCACCACGGTTGCTGTTGCTTTATATATAAGCAATGGTTTCGCTGGCCAAACTTTGAAGTTCCTGGTGATATCCAAATCTCTACTGCCCAGATTTAATTAACACAGCTTTCTAGTGATTTTTTTGCTTACGTTCCCAAGTGGTTTTATATCCATTTCCCTTGTCTAACAACCCATTTCGTCTATCCACTTAAAACATCTTAAAACTGCACTTCTGGCGGTTCCAGACCACATTTTCATCGCCCAAATCTTCATGTGATCAGTATCGATCAGTTTGGTTTCTCGAATTCCCAGATTTTCTGTTAGCTAAGTCCCATTAAGTCTCCATTTTTGTTGCTGAAATTCCAGTGCTTGCTGAACTCGGCAGTCGACATCCCTACGTTTCTCCGGTGATCCCCAAGCCCCGGGACGGCGCTGCAGGGCCACCTCGATACCTTTGCCCAAGCGCTGTAGCTCGCTTTCGGCAGCGCGGTGTTGACCACCTGTTGGCCATGGCGAATCTTGAACAGCGTCAAATTTTGGTTGGCTAATATGTAAACGCACGTGATGCGTGATGCTAGATAGAAAGATAGATAGATAGATAGA